CCAATTCCTTCACTTCTCCACGTTTTCCATTCTTGCCTTGATTGTTGGAGTTTCCATCCATACTTGTAGGGGTTCAGCTGCTGAGACAAAGACTCTGATAGACCTCTCTTTCCCTCAGATGTCACTGAATGACATGCTCTTTGGCCTGTGGCTGACATATGGCCCAAATACTGGATATTGGTCTTGGTGCAGAGATGCAATTACACTTTCTTCTAGGCCTTTGTCTCCTGCAAGGTCATGTGTTATATTCCCCACATCTGCCTACTTCTTGTCCATTGGAAACTCTGAAAGTCGTTTTGCAGCAAACACACAATTCCATTGGCAAGCCTGCAGCCACCTGAAGAAGCCCAGGCTGACTGAACTTGAGGAGGAGGCCTATGATAAGTGTTTACACTTATGGCTTCATATTCGTATGCAGATGAACAGGCCACAGAGTCAAAAAAAATTGATTGAGAGCTGATGACTGTTTCTCAAAATCAACTCCCCTACAATGTAGTCCACAAGAAGACTTTAGGGTTGCAGTTTTGCTTGAAACCTCAGTGATTTGCAGGTGCTGAGAGGGATCAATATCAACACCAGCAGTGAAGACACAAGAAGACTTCCAGGTGAGTTTCTCCGAGAAGCCTTTATCTTTATTGGTTCCTTACCTTCCTAGTCCAGTTTGGTTTTTTTTTTGTTTTTTTGGTTTTTTTTTTTTCCCCTCTTCCTGGCTTGCTCTGTATGTAGGTTTAGTTTGAAGAAGTGGCATATCTTCATTTAGCCATGTGTTGTGTTTTAGTGCTTCTTGCTCATCCTACAGCTTTTGTGGAAGGCAGGAGATGTGAGGTTATACTTATGTTCTGGTTGTGGCAGGGAGAGGAGATCAAAGCATGAAGCCAGTAGAAGTGCCATCTGTGTAAAACAGTGTGTGTGACAAAAGAGTGGAGGAGATTCCCCAGAAGGTGATATTTTGATATTACCCATCCTCTGTTGGATGACTGCTCCTCCTTTAGTTCTGGCATAGATCATTCCTGCACTTTACAATTCCACTATTTCTTCATGGAACGTTGGTGAGCAGACAAACATACTTCCTTTTTGGTGTGATTGTGGTGTATTGTACTGTCATTATATGTTTTTGGCAATTCTGAGTGTCATAAGCAAAGCCGCAGGTTGTGTTGGGTTGGAGAAAGGACTTGGGAAAGCTCTGTTGGCAAGAACATTGGATGTTCCTTCAAATGAATGTGTTGATTAGTGGAATCTCTGCATGTGTCCAAGGTGGGAACCTTGTTCTATCAATGGTGTCTGTCTGCAAAGGCAGCTTGGGAAAGAGGCCTATGATAAGTGTTTACACTTATGACTTCATATTCATATTCAGGTGAACAGGCCAAAGAGTTGAAAAAAAATGATGAGAGCTGATGAGTATTTCTTAAAATGAACTCCCCTACAATGTAGTCCACAGGAAAAGTTTAGGGTTACGGTTGTGCTTGAAACCTCAGTGATTTGCAGGTGCTGAGAGGGATCAGTATCAAACCAGCAGTGATGACACAAAAAGACTTCCACGTGCGTTTCTCTGAGAAGCCTTTCTCTTTGTTGGTTCCTTGCCTTCCTGGTCCAGTTGTTGGTTGTTTTTTTTCTCTTCCTGGTTTCCTATGTCTGTAGGTTTAGTTTGCAGAAGTGGCATATCTTCATTGAGCTATGTGTTGTGTTTTAGTGCTTCTTGCTCTTCCTACAGTTTTTGTGGAAGGCAGGAGATGTGAGGTTATACTTGTGTTCTGGTTGTGGTAGGGAATCTCTACCCATGGGTTTTCTTACGTTTATTGCTCTGATTCTCCCCTCAGCCTCAACCATCTGTGTAAAACAGTGTGTGTGACAAAAGAGTGGAGGAGATTCCCCAGAAGGTGATTTTTAATATTACCCGTCCTCTGTTGGATGACTGCTCCTCCTTTAGTTCCGGCATATAACGTTCCTGTGTTTTACAATTCTGCTATATCTTCATGGAACATTGGTGAGCAGACAAACATACTTCCTTTTTGGTGTGATTGTGGTGTATTGTACTCCCATGACACGTTTTTACCAATTCCAAGTGTCATAAGCAAAGCAGCAGGTTGTGCAGGGTTGAAGAGTAGACTTGGGGAAGTTGGATTTAAACTGAAACAGGGTAGGTTTCCATTAGGCATAAGGCAGAAATCATGAGAGCAATGAGAGGTTTCCCAGAGAATTTATGGTGTTCCTTCTGCTCAATACGTTTGGCCTAATGAATGTTATTGTACCTGATCTGTGTCCATTTGTGTATGTTTCTCACTCTTGTCTTGCTTGTCGTGTTCTACAGCCAGTCCACAGGGTGTCTGATGAAATGGGGAAGGTCAGCTCGGTTCTAATTGTCTGAGTGCAGGGGCATTTCCTTCCCACACCTTGGAGGTTCACAGCTGTGAGGAGGAAGGTTTTCATAGGTGTATGTGTGCTCCCAGAGGGAAGACTTGTCTGTAGGGAAAGCTCCCAGAGAATTTATGGATCATTGGAAGGTCTGAAGGTGAGGTTGGATGGGGCTTTGAGTAGTGTGATCTGGTGAAGGATGTCGCTGCCCATGGCAGATGGACTGGAATCGGTGATCTTTAGAGGTCCATTTGGACCAACCATTCCATGGTTCTATGAAAGACGCGATGTGGCTTTGCACTTCCCTGTTGCCAATCCCTCAAATACAGTAATGCAAAAGAAGAAACTTTTGTGAATCCCAAACAAAACTGCAAATGTTTTTCTGCTATCTTACGATAGATCTATAGGCAGTATCTTCAAGGTGATAAATTTCTCAGTGTGATTACTCTTTTCCCTAAAATAAAAATCAACAGTGGGAAAAATGTCAGAGACTTCCATGAACAAAAGGAAGATATGCAGGGAAAAGGGAAACCCGGCATGACAGGACTGCAGTGGCTTTTGCTTCATTCTGTTTTTCATTACTTATTGATTACTCCAACATGAATATTTCCTTCTAGGATTCATCCCAGGTAAGAAAAGAAGAATTCAGAGTAACTGACATCCATCTTATACATCCATCTGGATTTTGTAAAGAGCAACTGAGTTCCTTTGCCTGTTGCTCTGCTATGAATAATTACTGCCGACTATTTATTGCGAGTCAAGGAGATGACTTAAAACACATAAAGGCGTATCTCAGTTTAAAAAGCGTTTGGAGCTGCAGCAAGCAAGAGCCACTGAGTTTCCTGATTCTACCAAAGGCAGACGCGAAAGGTGGGGTAGCGACTAACAACCGGTCAAAAGCCCGGGCCCCCGGCGCTCCTCTCCGCCCTCTTCCTGCTCAGCGTGGCGCTGGCCGTGCTGGCGCGGCTGCGCCGGGCCGGGCCGCCCGCCGTCCTGCGCTGCCTGGGCGCGCAGCGCTTCTCCGTGGCCGGCGCCGCCTTCCCGGCCGACTTCTGCGAGGGCACCTTGCCCTACTCCTACAACCTGTGCGTGGCGCCGGGACGCGCCCTCGCCCAGCCCGCTTGGCCCTCGCCGCCGCCTCTGCCCGTCGTGCCCGCGGAGGATCTGCTGGGCGCGGAGCCCTGCGGGAAGCCGAGCCCGAGCATCAGCGCCGGCGCGGGAGAGCCGCCCGCCGACCCCGACGCCCCGCAGGTCTGTAAGCCCGCGCGCTCTCCCTCTTTTCCCTGAGCTGTGCTCAACCTCCCTCCCTAGTCCCCTGGGTTTTCGGCGGGTGTTATTCTTCCATAAATAACTCCCTTCCTTTGAGATCAAGCTGTACAGAACCCGCTCAACGTTTTCCACGTCGAGGTGGCCATCCAGGACATCAACGACAACGCACCGCGGTTCTTGCGAGACAATTTCCAGCTGGAGATCAATGAGCTTTTTTCGGTGATTAAAGCGATTAGACCTGGACACAAACACGTTTATTAATGCTTTTCCGTATTGGACTTCCAACGGAGACGTGTAAAAATCACAGATTCCCCTTCCGTAGTGGCAGAAGAGAGCGTCGCCAATCTTTTTTTGCTAGTGCCAAAATGGCGGAAATGGTAGCTATAGTGGGACAGGATACATTATTGTGCTTGAGAGTGCTGATGCGTGTCTCCTTGAGGGAAGTAACCGGGATATCGCCCTTCCATTCACATCAGGAGTCAAATGGCGGCACTCCCTGGTTCTTCCGCTGTCATAAGTTCAGGTTCAGCTGAGAGATTTTGAATGCAACTATCGATCGAGTTATTTATGACGAACGCGTCAAATTAAGGATTTTGCATGACTGCATCGAAAATTGTGTCGGACGTTTGGTTTTAGAGATTATTGCTTCTGAAATCGATGAACTTGGGCCTGGCTGATAGCTCGATGCAAACCCGTTGATTTATGTTGTTTCCCCCCAAAAAAACCAAACCACCAAAAAACAAACCACCTAACCATAAAACCAAAACCTGCACGCTCTTACTCCCTCGTGAATGTTCCACCGTTTGCCATCTTGTCTTATGAGGGAAGGCTGCTCCAGAAATGGCAGCACCAAGGGATGGATAAATTTTATCCAGGCACCACTTTTCCGAGTACTTTGTGCGGGTATTTGTCTTTATTTGTTCTCCGGGGGAGGTTGCGTCTGAATATCACGTTCTCCATTGCACAGGCTGTTATATTTTGCTATCCTTGTACCAGCCATTCAGGCATGACTGCCATAAAAATTCCTGATTGGGACAGTTTTTACGGACGAATGGGATGAGACTTGTAATACTCTACCGTTTATATTATGAAAACATTTTACTTTACATGTACCGCCGTCAACAAGTCCAATGTAAAATGACGTTAAAGAAAAGAACAGTCAATGCAGGGAATCACCGGTCCCCAGTTCAGGGTGGGTCTTCATTGTTGCGTTGTTTTACTTGTCGGGACGTGGGAAAATAATGAGGTTATATGACGCCCTTCCGATCCACGGAATGGGTGAAAGAAAGGAAATTAAAGCACGAGTGCTACAAAAAACTGTGGAATCCGTGCTGTCGGATTAAAGGGATAGGGTCGTGATATTCTCGTGTCATATTAAGAACAACTACTTCATGTAGTATATTACAACTACTAAAACATGTTTCCCGTGCGGTAGCAATAACACAACCACGGGAAGCCTCTGCCTTCCTCCTGGTGATGGCCTCGAGGATCAGAGGAGACATGGGCTGGAGAAAAGGCATGGGAGGAGATCTGCGGTGGACGAGAAGCGCTGTCTCCGTGGCGAGTGTCCCGTCGGCGCGAGCTGCCCGTGGGAAAGGCGGGCGGGCAGCGGCGGGCAGCGCTCGGTGGCTGCAGTGCCGGGAGGAGGCTGCGGGCGCCGCTGTTGACCGAGGAGGAGCGAGAGGAAGGCCGGAGCGCTGCAGGCAGCCCCGCCCGCTGCGGCCCGGCTCGATCGCTCGCCCGATCGCTGGCTGGCTGGTTTGCTGGGCGGGCGAGCGTCCTGCGATCGTCCCCGCGGTGCGGAGCCGTGGTGCAGCGAGGCGGAGGGTGCGGCGGCAGCGGCCGGGAGCGGCGAGACGGTGACGGAGCCGAAGCCGGATCGGTAGCCGGATCGGGAGGCGGAAGAGCGGTCGGCGGTGTTGCGGTGCCGGCGGTGGGGCGGCGGAGATGTGGTCGGCGGGGAGGCGGTGGGTCCGGCGGGAGCGAGCCCTGCTGTGGTGCGTCCTGTTGGCGGCGTGGGAGGCGGCGTGGGGTCAGCTGCGCTACTCGATTCCCGAGGAGATGCCGAAGGGCTCGTTCGTGGGCGACGTGGCCAAGGACATGGGACTAGAGCTGTCAGCTCTCCAAGACGGCGGCGTCCACCTCCTGGACAAAGGTAGGACGCAGTATTTCTCTCTGCACGGGAAGACGGGACATTTAGTGACGGCGGAGAGGATAGACAGAGAGCAGCTGTGCCGGCTGGTGGAGAAATGCGTGCTGCGCTGTGAGGTGATCGTGGAGAAAGAAATGCAAGTTTACGAAGTCGAAGTGGAAATCACGGACATTAACGACAACGCCCCCAGTTTCCGGGAGGCGGAAATGGAGCTGAGAATGAGCGAGACGACAGCGCCGGGGTGGCGTTTTCCTTTGGCCGAGGCTCAGGACCCGGACGTGGGACGGAATTCCCTGCAGAGCTACGAGCTGAGCGGCGACGAGCACTTCTCGCTGGCCGTGCAGGCGGGCCCCGGCGGGGAGCAGCGTCCCGAGCTGGTGCTGGCGAAGGCGCTGGACCGGGAGGAGGCGGCGTTTCACGAGCTGGTGCTGAGGGCGAGCGACGGCGGAGAGCCGCGGCGGACGGGCACGGCGCGGATCCGCGTGTCGGTGCTGGACGCCAACGACAACGCGCCCGCGTTCAGCCAGGCGGAGTACACGGTGCGTGTGGCGGAGGACGTGCCCGTGGGCTCCGTCCTCGTCACCGTCACGGCCACCGACGCCGACGAGGGCATGAACGGTGACGTCAGGTATTCGCTCAAGAAGGTTATGGATCAGGCATCGCAGATTTTCGAGCTGGAGGCAGCGACGGGTGAAATCAGACTGGTGCGGAGCCTGGACTTCGAAGAAGGCAACTCGTACGAACTGGAGGTGCAGGCACGGGATGGTGGTGGCCTTTCCGACACTGCGAAAGTTGTAATCACTGTGACCGACGTGAACGACAACACGCCCGAGATTTCGGTGCGGTCGGCGCTGAGCGAAATCTCGGAGGACGCTCCACCGGGGACGGTGGTGGCCCTGCTGCACGTCCAGGACCCGGACTCGGGGGCCAACGGGCAGGTGCGGTGCTCGCTGGACGGGGGCGTCCCGTTCCGGCTGCAGAGCTCGCGGGGCAGCTACTACAGCGTGGTGACGGCGCGGGAGCTGGACCGCGAGGAGGTGTCGGAGTACAACGTGACGGTGCGGGCGGCGGACGGCGGGTCGCCGCCGCTGCGGAGCAGCGCGGTGCTGGCGCTGCGAGTGCTGGACGTGAACGACAACGCGCCGGTGTTCGCGGAGGCGCGGTACAGCGCGCGGGTGCCCGAGAACAACGCGGCGGGCGCGCTGCTGCTGAGGGTGCGGGCGCGGGACGCGGACTGGGGCGCGAACGCGCGCGTGCGGTACCGGCTGTGGGAGGGGCGGGTGCGGGGCGCGCCGCTGTCGTCGTACGTGTCGGTGCAGGCGGAGACGGGCGCGCTGTACGCGCTGCGCGCTGGCGCCGCTCGCAGCTGCCGGCGGCGGGCAGCGGCGCCTTGCGCGGCGTCCCGGCCTCGCACTTCGTGGGCATCGACGGCGTCCGCGCCTTCCTGCGCTCCTACTCGCACGAGGTCTCGCTCACCGCCGACTCGCGCAAGAGCCAGCTGCGCTTCTCGGGCGGCAGCTGCTGCGACACCCTGCCGGCCCGCCCGCCGCCCGACGAGCCCGCGCCGCCGCTGCTCCCCGAGGACGCTGACGGCGCCCGCCGCGACGACCCCGCCGCTCCCACGGTGAGTTCGTCCCACCATCAAAATTTCTCCGCCACGCTTCCCTCTCGCGATTCTCTGCCCTTGCCGTCCTGTGTTCTCTGTCCCACCTCGGGACGTTTAGTTACAGAAGATGGCAAAACTTGGTTCGTGCCTCTTGCTTCGGGGAGGCGATCGTAGGCTCTTTGTCAGCCTTGTATTTTTTGTGGGAGTCAGGAGAAGTGGGGCTGCTGTTGGCTTGAGGTTCGGCCGAGCGGGGATTTTTGTTCTTATCAGGCACCGCGTCGTTTCTTATTTTGTCCCCTGACATGTAATACCGATTTTCCTGACAGTTTATCTTTTGAATGGATGTAATTAATTATCAGCAAATTGAAGTTTTCGTTCTCGGCAGGGTGAGATGTCTTCCCCACAGCACCTGTGCTTGAGTAGGATGAGAGTGTCTTGAAACCAACTGTAAATGGCGCCCTGTATAGCTTCCCGTGACGGATTAATATTTTGCATGTTTTGTGTGGTCTTACTCCTTTTTTTTCTTTTCTTGTATGCGTATTTTTTTTTTCAGATATTCCTCTGCGCATGTGTAGTCTCACTTGATTTTACTTTGTTTGTTATTTATTATCGTTGATTATTATTTATTATTGTATGAGGAACAGAGAACTATGTATGCTTAATAACGGTACTTGTTAGAAAGGTTCTTTCTTTTTCTGTACTCTACCAGCCCCTTAAAAGTAGTTACCTAAATTATGGGACTGTTACAAGTACAAAATTATTTTTATCGTGAAGGACGTGTTAGTTGAGGGTTTTTTTCTCAAGCTCCTCTTTTCTTGACTTATTATTGCTCTTCTCTTTTTACATATTTTCATTTAGCAACCATTATTTAGGATGAATGGTAGTCATTATTTGACATGAACGTAGAGCCGCCTGTACTTGATTTGGTGCTGGTCTCAAAGTTGTGTTATGTGTTCCTCAGCCAGTAGTCACAGCCGTGTCATTTTTTCTGTACCAGATTACAGTGTGTGGTTTCCACCCTGGAGGTACCAGGGAGGATCGGGAGGATCTCTCAATCTGGAGATCATTCCTGGCGTTCCTGCGAATTCTTTGTTGCTTGCGGGAATTTTCTTGTTTGGGTTAAAAGTGAGCTCTATGCTCCGGATTGTGGAAGAGGCGCCAAATTACTTGTTGATTGTTGAAGTGTTAAATTCTAAAATACATCCACGTACTTGAGCACTGTTTGGTCATGTTGGTGGTTAACCACCACTGTACTCTTCCAAAGACGGAGTCGAGTTCAGGAACTGGATATTTTCAGGCTGAATAGTGTTCTTATAGGCTCTGTAAGCCTCTTCTTTGGCCTTCAAACTATGAATGAAGGCTAGAAAGTAGAGAGTATTTTCGCAATTTCGGCTGAGGTGCATTACAGAGGGCACGGCACTTCAAGAAACGTCAAGATACTCTTGCTGTAAAGGGTTACTAATTTGTCGGTTTTTTTTTTTTTTATATCGCCTTACAGCTTGTTTCCTATCGTTATGCCTCGTGTAGCAGTGTTTATCTTTCGATACTAAGTGTTTAACACCAATGCAAACGGTGTGTGAGGAACAGAGTACCATGCATTCTGAATAGCGTCACTGGTTAGAAGGGTGGTTTTCTCCTTCTGTGCTCCTTACCAGCCGATGAGCACATCCAGAGTGTGCACCCAGAACGATTTTGTGAGGATGACCTTGCTGACCACGAGGAGACTGGTCAGGCAGCAGCCTTGTGGCCCCTTCTGTCAAATGAGGGTTAATTTCCAAGCCATCGTTACTGTCCTATGGGCTTTTTTCATCTGCTTTACTGTTCGTCATCTTGTATTTTACGTAGAGGTGTAGTTAGAGGGAGCGGTGTAGCCGAGGGTGTAGCGACAGTATGACCTAACCTGCCTAATGCCAGTATAATGTTGATTTCTTTCTCGGTAGCGTTACTCACAGGACTGGACTATTAGCTATTTTCATCCTGAACGGCTTATTAGTTGGAGGTTTTTCTAAAAGTCTGTCGCTCGTTGCTTTATTTACCACTGTTGTCTTACAACACAGGGTTTCCATTTAACGTTAATTATTTGAAGTGCATGTAAGCTGTACCTCAGTAACACAATCACAAACATTAAGGAATATTCTGCGGTAAACACCTGCTCGGCGTGGGTAGCTGACCCTTTTGTATGTGTCTATCCATCTGAAGTAGAGTGCGGCTACTTCTTTGTGAGGATGGTCTTGCTGGCGAGGAAAAGTCTGTTCTCACAGCGACGTTGTGGCCGAGAGATGGTTTGCTGGTAACTGCTAGAGTGGAAGAAGATCGTAAAGGAGAAACTGAGTCCTTTAGTACGTGTCTTTGTATGTCTCTAGGGAACACCGAGAGTGACATAATCGGGAAGTGAATTATCACCAGGACCCAGTGAATGGACACAGTAGGCATCCACAGAGTTATCTCTTGTCTGGACCAATAGGAGTTGTAGGAAAGTCTGCTGTACGTGTAGGTTCCAAACTCATGAGCTGGGTAGCACTTCAGCTGCACATTCAGCTGGTCACAATGTGCCCTGCTCTCTGCCTGGTCATGAACAAAGATTTTTTTTTTTTGGTTGGTTTGCAGAGTCTCGCATTCCGTGATTTCCTTTGGGTGTTGCTGGGAGATGGTGCTATCAAACAAACAGGCACTGGGGAGGATCAAGTACTTTTTCACAGATGCCGCACTCAAGAGGGTTTGATCCTTTCCATTTTCAGACCGCCCCACGCCTAGAGTCTTCTATGTACTGCCACTGCAAAGTACACGTCACTGCATTTGTGTCATAGGCAAATTGTCCTCTTTTGTGCTGCACTTCCGACTTTTCTTGGGATTTTTTTCCCCCTCCTTGTTTACTACGTCTCTGACTGTCATGGGAAAGGTAGCTGACATGTGGCATACACTTCAAGCATC